TTTCCCTTTCTTTTTCAGGTGTTCACAGGTTGTCAATCGAGGGTTCATTTTTACATTTTGAACCTTTTGTATTTTGTTTTATAATTGTATTCCCCATTTGTAATATTTTAAGCAACATCGTCTTATAATTGGATTTAATTTTATACCGAATCTTGGTGTTGTGTTTGTTTTTATTTCGATTTAAATTTTGTGGACTTTCATTTTATATTTTATTTTATTTTTATTTTTATTTGATTTTGTGTTCGTCTTTTTAACCTCGACCTGAGATTCGAAGCGTAAAAAATCGGGACGTAACAATGGATAATATTAAATTATAAATAAAATCATCAAAATTATTATTAAAAAATAAATAATTAATTACTAGTTTTTAGACATAAATCTCAAAATTTTATTTATTATTTTAATTTTATAACTTATTGTAGTGAGCATTTAAAAAGTAGCTTCAGAGTAAGTCACACTTGGTCAATTTGGAGTGGTCATTTGAAAGGTAGTGTGGAAAAATCAAATTTTTGGAGGAATAAAATTGAGCTAAAGTTGATCTTCGTCATTTTTAGGATTTCAAGTAATTGCATACAAGTTATTCAATCAAACTTCGACCAATTTTGGTGGTAGGGTGACTCAATTTAGAATAAGGTTACAAATCTTCTTTTATCTTAAAATAATCTAATTCTAGCATTTTTCTATTGATTGATCCGAATTTCGTAGGAGGTGTTAATTTATTTGATTAAATGATTCTTTCTTCAACAAAAGCTTGGATCATTAGGTTGAGGATTATGATTGTCTTATCACCTTGCACCCCAAGATTGTGAGTGACGATCAAAGCTCGAGGAGTTAGTCTTAGACGTACTAGAAAAAAAAAAAGATAAGGTTTTAACTGCCTAAACGCCCCTAAGAACCTAGTACACCTCCATGACATCCAAGAATGACAAAGGTAGTTGTCCGAGTCATTAGTAGTATGCACATTGTCATCAATTTAAAGGTACCATCATACTCTCCGCTACCCTTTCCACTCTGATACTTGTACCATCGAGTTTTCACTCTAGTACTTGTACTATCGAGCTTCCACTCTAGTACTCGTACTATCGAGCTAGGCATGAGCCGACTAGGATTGTATGACTTGACAGTTCAATTGGGTTACCTCACAGCAAATTCATCTTGAGAGAGGACGTGGAATCACACGAGTAACCTTAGTAGCTGACAAGCACATAGGGTCTTTTCCTCAACCTTGGGTGACAATATGGTCCTGTGGGAAAGTTCACCGGCTATCCTCACCTAAGAGAGAGAGAGTTTTTCAAGGTAGTACCTCAACTTAGAACATTGGTTTCACACTGCATAAGCAAAACAAGTTACCTTAAGTCAAAGGAAAGAAGAGTAGTTCACCCCAAAGATGCGACTTGTTGTTCAATAGATGCGCTCAAAAGGATGAGCCACCTTTGAACCTAAGTTGAGCTCGTGACCACAATAAGGAGACCTTACAAACCCATGACGATGCCAACCTCTCAAAGAACAAAAATATGATCAAGTGTTACTCCGGTGATAAATAAGGCATTATTAGAGTGACGCAGCAATGAAAGCAATGAGAGTGCAAACCTCACATTCACGCATGACTAAAAACTCGTGTTGATGTTTGCCAAGAAGATGCCCAATCTGTTGATGCGGAATAAAAAGAAGATTATGGTAAACTTCCAGACCACCCTGTGGTACCTAGCCAATAGTGCGAATAACCAAATGACCGAAGTTCAAGGGGCTTGTTATGTTTGTAGAGTGCTTTTTATTGTGAGATTGAGGGTTTTTTTGTGTGTTATTTATCCCAAGCTGCTAATTGTTGTAGGTTTTAATACAAGGCTGAATGATTCTTCATAATCTTGGGCTCCTAATCCAACCATTCTCTTTCATGTTTGTCTTCCTACTGCATTGACGCTTTTCAGGCGTTATTTGGATCTGCTTTGTTTGTGGCGTTAATTGGAGGTCTCCACCTATTTTTCATGTGTCCAGACGTCTTCCCTCAGTTTATGACATTGAGCTGTTGTTATGTGTCTCTGAATCTGTCATTATTTTATGCTACATCACCATGTCTTCTTTCCTCACTCCATGGAATGTCACTCTGATTGATTTGAAGACTACGTTCGGGTTCGGTAAATTGTTTATGAATGTTTAATGATGAATATGCATGATGATGAAGAATTACTCACTACTAGTGTCCTAGAAGCATTATAGGGGCTCGATGAACTCGTGTATGCTTGATTATATGATTTGGATTCATGTTCTATGACCTAGAGTATATGTATGATGAATTAGTGAGCATTAGCTTCTATTTTATATTTCCTTGGTTCTTGAGCCATGATTTATGAAATTCCTCGATATTTAGTCAAACCTTCCCTTACCAACTATTGTCATCTCTCTTGTCCACTTGTTTTCAATGCAATCAATATTTACCATGCTTTCTTTAGAACTATTTTCAACTCATTTCTGGCTCACATTTTGTAAGAACATTTTTCACTCAAAACGTGATTCGAAGCTCCACCTTACGTCAAGATTCCCTGTTTGCTGCGAACAAGTATGGCATAATCTCAACCTAAGGTGGAGCCTCGAACCAAATGGATCTCAAGAAACCTTTGATTGCTATGTTGTTTTGAATACCTTATTATATTTAATAACTAGAACTAACTCAACCTCAATTATAAGAATTAGCTAGGTTAGATTAATATTTTGGATTGGATTGAGTTAATTTTCTGAACCGAAAAATTTAATTTTATTTAGTTTAGGTTTAAGAAAACAAAAATCATTTTTTACAAATAAAAAGATATTTCATACTATTTTTAAACGCATTATATAAAAGAAGAATAAATTAACAAACTATTCCTACACTTTATACAATTTTAAATACATTGTTAATAATATGAATAAACTAATAAACAATCTTTATGAATAAATTAACAAAGAATAGTAAGTTTATTGATAAAGATTTATGTATATATTTAGGTTACTTTGAAACAAAAGTTATATTGTGTTTAAAAGTTCATAGATTATACATATAATTGAGTAATTTAAAGTATATTGATTTCGATTTCTCAATAAACTTTTTGAAATTGAGAATTTCTATCGGGGTGTATTGTTGGAAAGCCACTTTCAATCCATCATTTATCTCATTAGATTTGGTGGAAAGTAAATAATTTTACCTACCGAGTTTTATCAAAAGTTGCCCAAAATGTTTTGATCGTTCTAATATTTATTGTATCCTCGAGGTCAATATTTCTAATGTTTATACCTCCGTATCAATATTTAGCACGGATGAAAGCATTTTTTATTATTTTAGGAGTTTTTTTAACCCAATAGATTCGTAGAAAATTACAAGATTTTATTTTAAAATTAATATTTTTTTCTAATAATTACTTCATCTCATGCATAAAATAAAATAATTTTATAGTATTTTTTATTTTTTATTTGTTAGGAGTTTCTTTAAATTAATTATTTTTATTATGTTTTTAATTTTATGATCTATTTTCTATTTTTTTATTTTATTTTTAGGTAGTTGTTCTATGACAATATTGAATTAGGTTAAGACGTTACAATTTGCGCTTATTGTTGATGATAAAAAAAAAAAAAATTAATGATTATAGATTAATTTGTGTTTGTTTTTAAATTTTTAATATTTTTCATCTAAAATTGTATCCAATAATTATGGAGGGGATAAATAAAACTTTTTAAAAATTTAATTTTTTTTAACAACCCAACCTCAACTTAAATCGCAAATAGATGTTTGGATTGGGTTGTTTAGTAGCTATGGATGTGAGAATATATATGAAATATAGGTTGTTATACGATTGAACTACTTAAATCATATGAATCTCGACCTCTAGTCAAATATCTCATGATTTCAATTGCGACCCAACAAATAGGCTTGGTTAAACTTGACCCGTGAGCGTTGTTTTTATTCTACTATTACAACATATGTATTAACAATTAAAATTAGGAGTAAATTGATTGATAGAATAGAGATACAGAATTAGGCTAAATTTGTTGTCACACTTAACGAATCTAGGAACATATGTCGTGATACTTAAAACGAATCTACGAACATATGTTGTGACACAAAGTGTCCCCATAAATACATGTCACATGGTACACTTCTCAATGGATCCAAGTTCGCCAACACCAAATCATGGGCGCACTTTATCGTTCAATTATTCGATTATTTCATCTCCACTCTACTATATTTAAATTATTTTTTAATTTAATACATTTTTAATCTTTGTAACTATTTCTTTCTTTTTTTTTTTTTCTTTTTTTTTTCCCAACTAATCATTAGACATAATCTTCAAATAACATACTAAATAGTTAGGTCAATTCAACCCTTACTTACTCAATGGATAACAGTTTAATTAACAGCTTAATCTTAAAAAAGCTATAAATTATTTAAAATTAAACAAAAATATTTATCATACACAAAATCAAGATTTTAGAGACATATTAATAATATTTTAAAATATAAAAACTAGATAAAAAAATTTAGATAATAAAATTAATTTGTATAATCGACCAAAAGGTCCAGTATTCTTGTTGGAAAAGGTTTCAAAATATTTCTCCTCTCTTTAACTGAGGTGGGATGTCACACTCTATCAAGAGCCCATTATTCTTATTGGGAGAGGTTTCCACCATATACCGGAACCTCACTAGGAGAGCACAATCCACCAAGAGCCCAATATCCTTACTCGGAGAGGTTTCTATACCTTTATAATGTTCTCTTCTCCAATTCAGGTGGAATCTCACAATCCACCGAGAGCCCAATGTCCTCACTGAGAGAGGTTTCCACATTCTAAAGTAATATTTTGTTCGTCTCTCAAACCTATATAGTATCTCACAATTCAACTTTTTGTTCCACATTTCTCATTATATCTTTGTAACATAAAATGAATTAGGAATGAGAAAGAAAATTGATACCTCCGTTTCCTATAAATTCCGAACACACATCACAAGCCCTCACACCTTTGAATTCCGCAACAAAAAAAATAAGCAATGGGCATCAATCCAACTTGGGTACTGCCAGTTCTAGCCTTGGGACTATTCCAAATAGTCGCCGGGCAGAGTTCAGCGGCAGCCAGAGATTTTTTACATTTTCACAACAAGGCAAGGGCGGAGGTGGGGGTGGAGCCACTGCAGTGGAGCCAAAATCTAGCCAATCTCACAGCCCGCCTCGTCCGATTCCAACGCAACCAAAAGATCTGCGACACCGCTGACGTGACCCGTTTCCGGTACGGCAAGAATCAGGATTGGTCGAATCGACCGGCACAGTCGCCGGGCCTGGCAGTGGAGCGGTGGGTTGAAAAGAAGGCGTTTTACAATCACACGAGCAACACGTGCACGAAGGATCGCCTATGTGGGGCTTATACTCAGGTGGTCTGGCGGAAGACGAAGGAAGTGGGGTGTGCTCAGGCGACGTGTCGGCAGGAACAGATTACTTTGACCATTTGTTTCTATAATCCTCCAGGAAACGGAATCGGTGAGAGACCGTATTAGAGATAAGGCTGTGTGGTAAAGCCCATCAAAAAAAAAATAAGGTTGTTTTGTTGGAATGTAATCTAAATATGTTCTAATGAATTGCAACGTTACTCTCCATGTCTCCCACACTTCTTATAATGTCTTATAAATCAAATTTCAAATTATCCAAATTTTTCTATTTAATAACAATTCAGTAACGTCTCGTCTTTCGTAAACCTTTTAACATTTCCAATTTTTGTTAAATATAAATTAATTCATTTCTTCGATCCATAGAAAATAATTGATAACATGGCTCATTCATTATTACTGACTACTAATCATACTACAAATTTAAAGGTATTAAAGATTATCATGGGCCAAAAGGTCTAAGAGTTGACTTCATATTCAAATGAGGTGCACTGAGCATACTTACATTTTCCTAATTTTATTCGAAAATGGTATAATATCAACCCTCAGATAAATAGATTATGAAAATGTTATAACTCAAACATCATATGAATAGGTTATGCAAATGCTACACGTTTACTTCACTCATGTAAATATCAAAGTGTAGCTGATAAGTACCACACCTCTGTGTACTTATTTCATAGGTCACATCTTTCACTTCAAAATATAAATTCATTATTGAATTACGTGTATCAATATTCTTGGTCAAACGCGAAGGAATCCTATTGGTTTGAGAAACAAATGAGAGAGCATGATTAAGCCATGGTTGAGGCTAACTTGGACATTTCTTTATAAGAACTGATGTGATTCCAAACAAACGTTTGAAGTTGTAAAAGCAAATAACGGCTAGTTTTTCAGTCAATGAGAAGGAGCCATGATTGACTGGATTGACTTACCTAATAAGACAAAATCTGTTAGCAATCAAAACTCGTTCACAAGAGATATTTTGAAGGCAAATTTAGACCAACTAACTTTTGATGGTATATCTTCTACAATCGCAGTTGTCAACGCCAAGATCATATATTCCTTCCATAAGAACTGAAGTCGAGGTCAAACTCGAACCTCTAACAAGAATGTTACAGACAAGATGATATAAAGCCAACTCGAGATGATCAATTTTTGAACATCTAATTCATTTGTCGCCCGGCTTTGTAACTTTGTCGGACCTTATGCGAGGTTTGTTTTCGTCAACCAAACATCGTTCCTGTGCAATCCTAACTTGTTCAGTCATACACGCTTGCGCATGCACGTCCAATTATCTGCGACACAATCAACCGACTTGCCTCTACATTAGATCAAGTCATTCGGCTCGACCTTGCCTTTACTACGGGTTAAGGTCTCTCAAATGCAATGTCATATCCAACATCATCTAGGTTCCCAATCAACATGGCTCATATGTCTTGATGTCATCCCAAGTTATAGGGGGTCATTGGCCATCGCAACTCCTCAGTCATGCCATCGAGAAACATCTCAACATCTCAAACATTTATCCAAGGCATTGGCCCTAAGTGCCCATGCAATGTTATTTACAGATATCGTACCGGAGAGCAGGTGAAAAATCCCACCTTTGACACTAAAGTTAGGGCGCAATAGCGGTCCACTCAGTGCCGCCCAATACTGTCCTTGAAAGATCCATTTCAAAAGAAGTCACCTAAGACACTCGTCTCGCAACGCTTGCCCTCACTATGACACTCGTGTCTACTCATTATCCCTATCTTGTTTATGTCTCTTCAATGCACACGTTATATGGTGTGTTTGGTTGATGCCATATTCCTGTTGTGCCCTAAGATGATAGCCTAAATTTGGATGAGTGATTGAGCACGTTGTGGGCTCAAAGAGTTGTATTATTTAAAACAGTAATATGGAAAAGAGACAAGAAATAGAAAGCCCACTTCACCAATCTTCCAGCTGACGAAGATCTTCATAAGATATTTGAATTTATAAAACATATATTTTACATAGGATCCTCAACTTTTGTCCTTAAAATAAATAATCGATCACGAGTGCTCCTACTGCCACACTCAGTACTGTGTTGTTTGTTTCCTAATTTAATAACGTCCCAATAAGTATCCACTTAGATCAAATATGCAATCCGACCCTATTGACTCTACTAACTGATCTACTAACTGAGTGTCAATTCTCATCCCACTAAAACTCCCATATATATCATTCGATAAGGGCAGACAAAACACTTGATGAGGACAGTTCGGATGTACCATGAAGTTTGTGTCGGCATGTTTTTATACATTCACATTTCAAGTTCTTTTCAAGGATTGGATAATACTAATGACCAAAATTGTTAACGATTTAAAAAGATATACAAGTCTATTCCAACATTGATGACAGGTTTGATAAACAATGTGAAGCTCAAAACATGGAAGGGAAGAAGATATAGACATTTCAATTTCAAGCTCAGATGCCTTTGCTTATGCTTCCTATATGTACAAATGAGAAATCAAATCCAATGCGCAAAAATTTTAGCAGCTGAGTTGATCCCTAAAAACAATGCAACCAAGCAAATTAAGTCGTCAGCTCCTTCGATATCAGATACCTGAAAGTATAACTTGGAGCTATCCATTCGACATTCTTCCGAGGATTCCCGAGCTGTGCTCGTTTCACGCTCTTTCTCAGAGATTCAGGCAAGCTCTTGAGAATCATCTCCATTAAGCCAGATGAACATAGTCCGGAGTCCTTTGCGAATGACTCGACGATCTTTGGAAGAAGAATCTTTTGATCCTTTCGTACGCCGAAGTTGGCTCGAATGTAGTCGTCTTTTGCAGATTCCAGTTCTTGAAACATTCTTTTCGGTGTGTAAACTCGAACCTGAAATGATATTGAAAGATTTATGACAACTTCTAAGCGTGTCGAGGCTTAATTTTTAAGAGTTGAAACAGAGAATTCTAAGATTACTGCAGGATCGGAGTGGCTGCCATAGCAAAGTGAAAAATGTAAACGGGGTTCCGGACGGTCGATCATATATGCTTGGCGTTCATCTCTGATCTTCAATTTCGTCCGTGAAGGAAGCAAAAGCCGAAGCCACTGCGTGTGAAATACATTATATCAAGCCTCTAGAGAAGTAAATGTTATTCCCCTTGGTTAGTGAACAGCCAAGAAAGACAAAATCACATCATGATGAGAATAAGCTCGGAAAAATATAACGAAAAACGAGCATTTCATACCTGCCAAGGACGAGGCATCCGACAGCCAAGAATACAACTTTGTATTGTGTCTACACTAATTGTATGACCTCCAATATTATAAGCAGACTGGAAAACATACACAAAGTGAGCAATGGTCATAACGATCATAGTGAGAGTTTAGGCTCCTGAAGTTACCTTCAAGAGTATGAAGGCTCTCTTGATATTGTTTTGGGGTACCCCATAAGCCAAATACGTCTGCTCGTAAACAAAGAAACGATTATAATCGATTTGGTGGGGGAAAAAAGTGTAAGGATAAATTAACAGATGCAAAAGGTTGACATGTTACATGCATCACAAGTGAATTGTGAATATTTATCCAGAAAGCCAACTTTTCCTCGTACTTCAGCTTCCTCAAATCAACTTTCTCTAAACGCGAGATAAGCAACCTGTTAAAACATAACCCAATGACAAAAACAAAGATTGTAAGATACAGGAAAGCGCTCGGGACAAGATTTGTGATGCTGATGCCTAAATATACATAGGCTGACCTGAAGTTTTCGAGCAAACTCTTGACATCATGTAGCTTCTGAGGGTCGCCACAAATCCGTGATATCTCAATCATGGTACTGTATGGCCCGCTAAAATCTTTGAGACCTTCCACAAGAAAAGGATTATCCAATCGATCAAAGGATGAGTTGTTTCGGAACCCCGGGCTGCACATAGCATACTGCTCTCCTGGAGAAAATTCACTGACTGATGACAAAGAAGACATGGGAGATGAAAGTCCATGATTTGACAAAGATGGTTCTGCTAATTTGCAATATATAGCTGATATGCACTTGATCATGTCTTCCGAAAGCCGATTAGGAGACTCGGGAACGTGGTCGGAAATGCAAGTTCCAAGATGCTCGGCAAGACTGATTATATTGGAGGAAACATTTTGTGCATACTGTGAAGAAGAAACAAGCGATTTAGTACCCTATGAAAATGCTTCAAAAACACTTATGCAAAAAGCTACCTCCATCATGTACACTGGTTGGGAATGACAGGCGCGCAGAGTTCTATCCAATGACACTACCGAAGCGGACGCTTTATCTAAAGAAGCTGCGTTCAATGTCGTCAGTGATGATTGAGAACGATAAAAATTGGAAACCGAAAGTTTTCCATCTCTATCACTGCAATCCTTGCTTGGATTTTCAAGTGACTGACAACCAGAAAGGGCTGCTGAGTTTTCATCTTTGGAGGCAATATCAGATAGGGGAACTACCATTGATCTGCCTCTAGGGGTCGAAGGCAATTTCGACATCTCGTCCTTAGCAGGGGATACAGAAGATGATTGTCCCTCGAATGCTTTTCGGTATAAAGAAAGGAGATATTGTTCTAAATGCACGACTTCTAGTTCTAACGTCGCAATCTCCGTGATTAACTCCATGGCTGACTGCAGTCAAAGTGAATTAAATATATGCTTTGTGAATATCATCTGAAAACAATCAAAGAGACTATTTTACCTTTGGCATTGAGATTTTGTCTGAGTTATTATAGGGAAGAACTCCATGATTCAATGCTTTTTCTAACGCCGAGCGGAGCTTGAACTGGTCTTGCAATCGCTTCTCGAGTTGAATAATCTAACAAAAAGTTTGCCTGGTTATTCATATTGGTTCGTTGTTGCAATTCTTCTGATTACATTTACAAGGACTTTCATGTTTAAATCCATACCTCATTCTTCAAAGAACTATGAACTTCCATCTTTGGAGACAAGTTTTTCTTACGTTCTACTTCTTTCACCTGATCCATATCCTGGTGTTCAATGAAAATTCCAATTTCTATCATAAAACTTATCCGGATCCATATCGTTTTCGAGTAATTTACAAGTTCTTGCCTGGTTAAGCTCAGCATATAATAGTTGAGAAGGAAAAAGAAAGAAACAAAATATCTTACCATGTTTACAATGTTGGAGA